TCCCCGAGGGGAGCGGGTGGCCGTCGGAGACTTTATTGCGTCGCGACTACGGTATGCCCTATTGGCTATGTCTTATTACTGTGGTGTGCCGTACTGTCGTCTGGATGTAACCACATTCTTCTATGATTGCATCCTCTCAGCGAAACGGTGACTGTTCTCTTTTGCCTACAGTTGGCAGTGGAAAAGGAACTCGAGTCCTTGGGTCAGTACATGAGTTGAAAGTTCTACTATGAAGACATCGCGGTGCTTCATTCTAGCAAGTGCATTTTGCAAGCTAGTCATAGACAAAATGGAAGACCTATGGACCGATGCGTTTCTATTTAAGCTTCAAAGGAGGCAATTGTCAGTTGTTAGGTTGTGGCAGACATGTCATAACCCGGTAACCAATGCGAATGTGTAAGTAGGACGACATGATTGTTCAAAGACCGCCATCGAGAAAACCAGAAAATATTTCTTGAAGGCTAAGGAAACAAATCGTTGAAGACGTGTACCAGCAGTGCATGCATTTTTGCCTATGCGGAGTGACAATAACTGCAGAGGAAATGATAGGGAAGAGCCGCAACGACAAGACGGGCACATCATCATATTTCCTGTATGCAGGGGATGGCAAAGTAGTCGTTGCTGCGCTTTGATGGAACACGCTCATAAGCTTTCGACGCAGGAGGTGAGCAACATAGCGTCGTCTCTGTCCTTGATTGAAGGAAAACGTGGATATGACGCCTTATAAGCGGGTGCAATGATGTTATGGTTCCATTTAGTTCCCAGAGCAAAACCGGAAGTGATGTGGTAAGGCTGTTTACACGATAAGCGTATCTTTTGCAAGGGAGGGATCCGAAGGGCCCCTGCATATTTACGAAGGGCAGGTAGAATTGCTATTTTTTTTTGAGACTAGCAACGGGCTTTCTCAAGATAGCCATAACGAATACTTAGAGCATCCCTGGGAAACTTTTAGTTATGCGACAACGCAAAGCGGAGATCGAGAACGGTAAGATATTGGGTTGGGCATAAACGCATCGATGAAGTTGAAGTTTGTAACACTATACCGTACATATATACAGTATTGTGCAATGTGCAAAGTTCGGTGCAGCAATTGACTTTTTTGACTTCGACGAACGGGGAGTGCAGATGTCGTGGCGTTCTTTTTGCAAAAGCAAATGACATTTTGCTTGTCATTGCTACATAATGTTATGATCAAGACCGGTATGATTGATGGCTGCTAATACTGGTACAGAGGAGCTTTTACACGACAGTGGGGGAGGTCAGGAATTACATTTATCGAATGGAGTGGGAGAAGTCCCAGGGTAGAACCTCGAGGCCTTGAAGGCCTCGAGGCGAAGCGAAGCGAGCTCAAGAATACGAGTAGCCGAAATCTGAAGCGCGCAGATGCTTCTTTCGGCAGACCTCGCTGTGAATGCCCGGTACAGCACGTGCGACGCAATACAGTTTACGGCTGTAGTACATCAGCGCATGACATGCCGGCCAATTTCAAAAGGGCGGTAGCTCACGAGCCACGCCAGCTTAGCTTCCATCTTGGTGGGTGAATGCCGCGGTGCAGTTCGTGCCACAGACTGGGACTTGAGGGGGGGGGGGGGGGGGGGGGTAAGGCGTCAACAAAGTCTTGCACTAATGCCCATCTGTACCGAACGGAACTCATGATACCTTGTTTCAGGGGCTGTTTGCTGTAATTCGCATGTGTCCAGAGCGTCAGGAAGCGGTCACGACTCATTCCCGTTCTCTCCCCAAAATTCGGAGGAGGTAACAGGGCGTTGCGGCCGGTCTTCTTCCCCAAGTCCCGCTTCTTCCCGAATTCGAATCGTGTTATCACAATGAGTATTCCGAAAAACTTTAACATCTCACCAGCTGTTGTTACCTGCTTTTGGCATTCTCGAGGCTTCCATTTGTCGATATGACAATTTGTGGCAAGTTCTCCATGGGAAACATGCACAAAAAATAGGTCTAACAAGTTGCGTTTGGATGT